ATTATTAAGTCATAATCGGTTGAATTTTAATCAAAACTTGTACGTTTGATGATTTATTTTATATCCTAGATAGTTGGTTTTCTATCTGCTTTTGATAGGAAAGTCTTTGAAACCCTGTTACAATGAATGACATAAGTGATAGGGTAGTCTAACTGGATACTCTTTTTCTAAAGCGATTCATATCAGTTAGGTTCGGTAGCGCTATAACATATTTTGACACTTATTTCCCATCTTCTAATATCTCTAAGAAAAAAAGGCAAAGACAAATATAGCTATAGAACACCGACTTAGAATTGCACTGACTACTCAGACGTAACTAATTGAGCGAGACAAGCTTGGTAACCATCACACGGCCTTGAAGTCCTCCTAAGAAACAAATATAACTCCTTTTTTTTAATCAAATTTACCCCAAGCAAGGCAGTAAAGTCACAAGGGTGTTACTGGTTGTGAAATAATTAGAAATCAGAGAAATTACTAAAGAACGAGAACAATTGAAGAGTAATCAGTCGATAACGATTAACATTGCATTTAAATTCTTGAAGATCAAAGTTAACTAGAAAGCATGTAGACGGAAAAGTGGTTATGCAAGCGAGAAGTGCGAGAAAGGAATCTGTTACACTATTTACATTGTCCAGACAATTGTCCTCATCTTTGTTGCCATATTTATCACAACGTTTCGGCCGTTGTACGCTCTGGCCTTTTTCAGATGGTTGGAATGTCGAACTGAACCCTTATTTCGCTCACTAGGTTAGTCTGTTCTAGTTCCACGTGACTTGTCTAATGGATGTCAGTTATCTCCTGTTAATTCCCCTCTCCAAGTTCTCCGCCGCCTTAACCAAGTATTGAACTCACACTCTTTGGGTTCTGTCACTGGATGTAACTAACGCCTTTATCCACTGTGCAATGTGTCCTTGAGGACACCCCAGTCTACTCCAGTGAGCAAAATAAAGGGTTCAGTTCGACATTCCAACCAACTGAAGAAGGCCGGAGCGTATAACGGCCGAAACGTTGTGATAAATATGGCAACAAAGATGAGAACAATAGTCCGAATAATTTAAATAGTGTACATAATACCTCATCTCAGAAATATAGACAGATACTGAAGAGCCGAAACGTTGTGATAAATATGGTGACAAAGATGAGGTCAATAGTCTGAATAATTTAAATAGTGTACATAATACCTCGTCTCAGAAATATAGACAGATACTGAAGAGCCGAAACGTTGTGATAAATATGGTGTCAAAGATGAGGACAATAGTCCGAATAGTGTAAATAGTGTACATAATAACTTATGTCAGAAATATAGACAGATACTGAAGTATATACCTTAGGGTTGTATCTAGCCAATTCAATTGTAATTTGATTTGACTTCGGGGACAGTCTCCGACCGCGCTTAAATTCATAAAATCTACATACGATGGGCGAAGAGCGATATTTATTTGTAAAAAATACAAAATGTCGCACGAAGTCAAAATGGGGAATAGCGAAAAGGACCGTCTTCTTCTGTCTTAACATTAAACTTAGCTCGCCACCAATATTGATACAAACATACAATATTCCTTATACAAAAAAATAACATTCTTACCTATATTTCTTACTTCTTTCTTTTCATGTGCCATGTTCTTTCAGGACGTAGGCGATCATAGCTCTCCACATCCGTCTATCCCTTGCAGCTCTCAACAAGTTCCTTCTCTCTGCTTCCTCCCCCAAATGTCCGAGAAATTTTCATAGAAACTATTCGTCCTCCGACAGGAATCGAACCGTTATCCTATACGGAACCGTCATATAGCCTGACATGCTTTTACCGATTTAATACGGTTCCGTATAGGATACAGGTTCGATTCTTATGGCAATTTCTCGAACATTCAGGCCGGTAAATGTTGCTAATAATGTTTATTATAAACAGAGCATTTACTTAAATATTTGTATCTATAAAATTTGTATCTATAAAATTTGTATCTATAAAATATTTGTATCTATCAAAAAGAATGTATAAACATAAAAATGTCTTAAATTAATTTAATTAAAACATTACGAACTTAGAGATTAAATACTGAATAGAATCTTTACTTACAAATTTGACATTCGTCTACACAATGAGAGATAACATCAAAAAAAAAGAATCATTAAAAGAATGTATTAAGTCGCTGTAAATTAATTATACCTATATATTTAATCATCTTTTTTCTCAGATGGATATCAGCTTAAAGCTGTAAACAACAATTCTTGGCAGAATATTATTTTTATACAATATTACAACAAAATTTTATAAATCAGATTCAGATAGGAAGAAATATTTTCATGGAATCCATTAAAAAGTTGAAAAAAAATGTGCAAAATTGTAAAATAAAAAAGTAGTGGGAAGAGTAGGAAGTGTGTTTCTGTGTTCCTTTTCATATATATATATATATATATATATATATATATATATATATATATATATATATATATATATATATATATATATTAAATAGAATAGAACATAAAATTACCTCATTTGAATAGCCCACCAGACATACTAGTAGGCCTTGTCCACTACAAATGAGTGAAGATTTTTTTTATTCAGAAAGTAAGACTTGTGGGCCGAAACAGCTATACAAATGGGTTAATTCTGGATTTCTGTTCTATGTAATTTATTGCTCTGTTAGAATAAATACATTGAGCTCCTTTTTGGTTCAGTTTTGATACTTTATATTATTAGGATACACTTGGATTATATACCAACGGATTACTATTATATATATATATATATATATATATATATATATATATATATATATACACACACACACACACACACACACACATATATATATATATATATATATATATATATATATATATATATATATATAGGCAGCATCTCTATAATTGGTAACAGAAGCCATTGGTTTATACCAACGGCATCCCATACTTCATACTTCTCCAATTCACTCTCGTGTTGTCCTGTGTGACGTCATGAGATGCGGTGCTATTTTCGATTCTAGCGTCTTATATGCACGTGTTTATCGTTACTTAGAAATCATCTATGTAAACAATGACAGACTATCATCACTGTCGTGTCCGTATATTGCTTAATATGTTGTCATTTACATCTTTGATAATGGCTTATGTAAGCCGAAAGCTTAGATTGTATTAAAAAATATGGATCAATTTTGTGAATTTCTTTCTTCGTTCAACGATAATGTTATTAAACTATTCAGATGTTACGAAAAAAATTAATAAATAGACAATACTTGTCTATATTATATATATATATATATATATATATATATATATATATATATATATATATGAAGAAAAAAAAAAAACAAGCAAAAATCATTAAATGCAATCATTGCATTTAATGATTTTTGTTTGTTTTTTCCAAATTTTTCTTCATTCTGTCGGATCTATATCCATTTACATTTGCTTACATATATATATATATATATATGCTGCTTATACGTTTTTTAGCGATACACATATTTGAATAAATTCTCTGTTTTTTTAATTAAGCAGTATCAATTATATTTACCAGACTAGATGTTCGGGAAATGTCAAATAAAGTACGCGTCTCCTGATTGTTCCGTATCGGATACAACTTCGATTCCTACGACAAGGAGAAAATGAGAACCCCACTCTATTAAATCGATTCTTAGTCTATCCCCTGCACAGATATAAAGCAAATGGTTATTAAACATTTGAAAAATATTCCATACCCCATCGCAAACAAATCTCTTCCTAGAAAAAGTAATCCTTTCTGTTTTCCCTCTAGAGTTCAGCAAATTGGTGACGCGTACTTTGTGATATGCTGATGACATTGGTATTCATAGCTGGGACAAGAATTATCTTGAACAAAAACAAAAGAAATCAACATTCTTGTTCTCAAAGTAGAACTCATTAAATGGCTTCAAACAAATGGCTTCAAGTAGATGTTAAAGAAGACTATCCCTCATCAGTTATAAAATAATAATATCATTTAAATTTAATATTTGTATTTCTAGTCTTGTTATCCCAATGTTGTGCCATCCGACCGTCATTGAGTCCTTGTCGACCTGTGATAACAACAAAAAAGAAGAGGACAACAGTCCACATAAAAATAAGAAAAATAAGGATAACTGTTCATCCCAGAAATTCCGACAGGGATTTTATTTATAGTTTGATTCAATTTATTTTGTCTTATGACGTATCAACACCTTAATGGGTTATGTAATGCTGACAAGATTTTTAGGATAGGTTCGTATGAATAGAATATGTATTCTTTTTAAGAAATCAGTTTGTAGATCAGGTTAATTTGATTTCTTTGACTTTCTTTGTTTTACGGCATATAAACACCTCAATGGGTTATTTAATACCAACAAGATTTTTAGAATAGATTTGTATGAACAGAATATGTATTCTTTTGTTTAGTTTAGTTTGGTTTATTTTTCCACACGGCACACCAATCCCAATGGGTTACACAATGCCGACAAAATTCTTTATTGCAGGCAATATTTTCTTTGGTCAAAAATGTGTTTCTTTTAATATTTTTCCTTCAAAATAGTAATGTTGGTAATAAGCTTTTCAAAAAAGTATTGCTGGTAATAGTTAACTATTTGCCCATAGCTGGGACCCTAACAGGTGCTACCACCCCGGGTCAGGGTGGACCTGGGAACACCAGCAATTAAGAGGTGGTTCCACGCTCCTCAAAACCTCCAGATCAGAGGCCTTGCTGCTGGACGTAGTTTATCGTCATACCCAGGATGATATTGAAAGAAAATAAAGCTTGCCTTTTGAACTATTTCGATAACGGTTTGAAAAATTCAAAGGCTTAAGCGCGTATCACGTTGAAATACCGGTTCTCGTATGATTACCTTAGTTAAGCAATGTTGAACCTGGTCAGGGCATAGATGGGTGACCGGTTGGGAATAACAGATGATCTCAGCTTGTTTTAATCCTAAGATTAATGGAAATATTTCAAAAGAAAATAAACCCTGCATTTTGAACTATTTTGATAACCGCTTGAGAAATTCAAAGGCTTACGCCCATATCACATTGAAACACCGATTGCCATAAGATTACCGCAGTTAAGCAACCTTGAGCCTGGTCAGTGTCTAGATGGGTGGACGCTTGGAAATAGCAGGTGCTGTATGCTTGGACATGCATGTAGTGTAATGGATAATAGATAGCCGGGTTACACTTCTCGGTGTGTTTGTCATGTTTCCTGATGCGAAATACCCTTGAAGTAAGGTAGGAAAAAAGTATTTTCCTCCAGAAATAGTTTAATTAATAAGACGTGTATCGATAAATCATTATTGCCTAAAAAAGAAAATCTTACAATCTAAAAATATGTCCTGGCTTTAAATAACCTGCAAACTACTGGTAAACCATAAAAACCGAATTAATCAATGTAAATTTGATTAACTAAACACGCTTGTCTTTCAGATTTATTTACATTCTCTGGAATGTAAATATATAGAAACTACAGTGGTCGCTAAGTGAGGGCTCAGTTTATATAGTGAATGTTGATCCCCCATTTTATATCCACTTCATAATTTCTTGTTAGTTTATTAAAATCTGATTAGTTATTACTCCATTTCTTCTCCCCCGGCTGTGGGTTAATTAGTAAGTAGCATGTGTCACTCCAACATTATTATCTGTAAATAAATAACACTTACAGTCTCACAATATTTTCTGGCTTTAAATAACCTGCAAAGGGTAGATAAACCGTACAAACGAATTAATCATTACTAAGAATCACTCTGTGGAAGCCGTTACATCATTTACTGCAATCTTAACGTCTTCAAGTCTAAGGCTTTATCTATCCTTCATATCCTCATAAACTGCAATTCTTACCTCCTCCTATCTTTTTTTTTTCTTTTTATGTCCATGTCCTTTCAGGACGTAGGCAATCATAGCTCTCCACCTCCCCCTATCCCTTGCAGCTCTTAACAAGTTCCTTCCCTCTGCCACCTCCCCCAGACCACTTCCTTAAGTCCGACAGGTATGTCACGAGTTGTTTTCCCTTGTCTCTCTTTCCCTCTATTCGACCCGTGAGTATCAGATTCTCTAGGCCCTCCTTCCTCATTATGTGTCCCAGTAACTTCAGCTGCCTCTTCCTGATGTTAAGTCTAAGCATCCTCCTTGTTTGAATCCTATCTAAGACCTCATCGTTTCTCACACACTCAGTCCATGATATCCTTAGTATCCTTCTGTAGAACCACACCTCCGTCGCCTCTGTCTTGGATGGCCCTTGCGCCTTGTATAGAAGGAAACACTAGTAACAGAAAATCAGAACCAGTGATCATGGTAACTGATGTATTTTGGTAATCCAAAAACAATTGGCTACAAAATCAGACAGATCTTAAAGCATGAAGTTTTGTACAATACATGTTGGATTAATAAGTTTTCCAGAGTCTGAATTCTAACCCACCTTGTCGTTTCTTTTTTTTTTTTTTTTTTTTGTCCGTGTCCTGTAAAGCAGTCCATTCTTATCTTCGCCATTAACACTATTCATATGGAGAATAATAGCAAGAAAACTACCATTATCATCCACCATTTCCCACCCACAACCGTCGCCATTCCCTCTCTATCCCATTACAATTAACGCCTCCTGTTTCAAGTCTCTGATGAACACAACCCCGTCAGCATCGGCACTTAAGTCCCCCTATTGAAAGTCGCTTTCATGAAGCACAAATGGGAAAAGACAAAAAGTACCAGTGGCAATGACAAAATCCCCTTCCTTGGAAGCCGCAAACACTTAACATCTTTCTCGCCTCTCCCTTCCACACATTTCTTTCTTCTTCTTTTTTTCCCCCTATTTTGCCGTTATCCGTCCAGAATTCAATTATCATCTCTCCCAGAAACTCAATCATGTGTCGAGTATCGGGTTTCCATTTTAGTCGACGGCAACATCGCTTTTGCCATCATTACCGTCATTCAACGACGTCATTATGGGCTTTCTACTTTCACTTTCGTTTTCATGTTCTTTCTTTGCTTGCGAGGACACTCATTCAACATCAGTTTGGGAGTTAATATTTGAGCATTAGTATGGGAGAACTGATTTTTTTCCATATGTGGGCAATAGTGTGTATCTATGTCTGTGTGTGTATGCGTGCGTATATTCAATAGATAATGAACAGACTGAATATATATATATATATATATATATATATATATATATATATATATATATATATATATATATATATGAACAAGCAGAAATAGAATGATTTAGAAAGTTAGCAACATAGATGGATTGAGATATAGATGGATAGATGAACGGACTGAGATAGATACACAGGTGTTTTATTTAATGGAGAATGTATTTTCTGTGTGAGAGAAAACGTGAGGGTCTGTGCTCGTATGTGATAGATAGATAGATAGATAGATAGATAGATAGATAGATAGATAGATAGATAGATAGATCCACATCCCCGTCGACTCGAGTCTCTTCTTACCGGTTTTAAAATATTATTTAGTAATCCTCTGTCTTGGATAGCTCTTGCGCCTTGTATAGAGTGAAACACATCGATAGATAGATAGATAGATAGATAGATAGATAGATAGATAGATAGATAGATAGATAGATAGATGAAGAGACGTCGATAGATAGATAGATAGATAGATAGATAGATAGATAGATAGATAGATCGAAAAAAGGCCACTAGTCACAAGTATTTATTGAGAAAGTTCACGAAACAAGAGCTAAACTAGCAGAAACGTTCATTGATAATCTCATAGGTGAAACAGTAATAGAAAGATTGAAATGAATAAACTGAAAGAGGTAGATAGACATTTCGGCCGTTGTACGCTCCGGCCATCTTCAGTTGACTGGTATTTCGAACTGAATCCTTTATTTCATTCACTGGGCTCGATTCTTCCTCTTCCGCATGTCTTAGTTGTCTCACTTTAACTGAACTCTCCACTGCTGTAGTCAGGTATTAAACTCACAACTCTTCGAGTCAAGTCACTGAGGACATCATTGTATGGTTTTTTCGGACTTATAAACTTAATGACCCAGTAACATTTTTTTACCAGAGCTCATAATGTAATTTTTGTTGTTATTATGGCTTTTCTGTAGCACTCCGTATTACTGGTTCCCATATTGTATTCTTTTCTATGCTTGGCCGGCTTAGGAGATTTTTGTGAGCTAACCTATGTGCTGATTCCTTCAGTGTGTACCTGTGTTCAAATGTGGCGGATATATAATTGTGAGTTCAATCTCTGGGTCGGGTAGTGTGTGCATGGACTCAGTAAAAACGGATCTAACAATAACGTAGTTGAACTAAAAATAAGAACTTGACGTGATATCCCTAGACATTTGCAGTGGAAGGAAAATTGTCTCCCCAACGAAAGATTAAATTTGGTTCTGAATTTACCAAAGTTACCCAGATCGATATATACCTGAGGAATGCCGAAGAGCATAACAAGAAAGATGAGGACAATAGTCCGAATATAAATAGTGTAAATTTTGAGAACTATTCATCCCGGAAATTCAGACAGGAATTACTTGATGGTATTTGATGATTTGGCAGAGCAATGTCTAGAAGAGATTAAGGACCCAGAAACTTTCTGATTGGTCCAGCTTCATCAAAGAAAACCGACGTTATGAAATGCATGAAAATAACTCTTAAATGACATGATTTCAACCAATAGGAAAACAAAAACAAACTCTTCTCTTGTCAGAATAGACAGATTTTTTCCGACATTTTGGCAATTCCAAATTTCTGAGATATCGTAAGGCTTTGGCCTATATCTCTTTGAAATATCGCTTCTCGTACAATCACCAAAGTTAAGCAACGTCGATTCTTGTCATTTCTATGTTTGTTGACCGCTTAAGAATACTAAGTGCTGTAATCTTCAATCATTGAAGTTAAGCAATGTCGATCCTAGTCATTTCCTTCTTTTTTTGACCGTTTAATAATACCATGTCTGGGCGTATTGCATCTTTGGATTCTTTTTTTTTTTTTTCTTTTTAATCGTTTCATCCCCAGCCAGTTGGTAAATCCACTAGAATGCATGGGTGGGGGAGACAGGGAGTGAAAGTGAAAGAGAATAAGGAAAATGAGAATAGGGGATTGAGGAAAGGTCGAAAATAGAACAGGTTTCAAAGAGACAGAAGATGGCGATGGGCGTTGCATTTAAACTTTTTGGAGATTGTAGGAAAGCAGTAAATCGGAAGGAAACTCCTCAGATAGGAAGGGCGAGAAAATACACTGTTAGAGTAGAAGTGTCCTTTGCATTTAGTTAGTTCAACCGTAAAACAGTGAGACCTAATTGCCAGTTTAGTAGCACGATAGAATTCCTGTAGGGCACCAGTGAAAAAAGTTCAACAGAAGAACTGCCATAAAAACATTTGTAGAAAATACAAAGAGAAGACACTTCAAGTCGGTGATGAAGTGACTGAAGTCGAGATACCTGGACCAGAAAGATTAAATGACAGATATGTCTTTGGATTTTATTAAAAATCTCGAGACATACATCAGGAACACCAGACCAGATATGGCAACAATATTAAGTGCATGGACAAATGGTAGATTTATAAACGTACAAGATGGATTCTAAGAAAATAAACTGTTAGAGTAGAAATGGCAGTTGTACAGAGTTTTGATGGAAAATTCCCAGTGGGTGTTAACAGATTCAGGGAGCTGTCCATACCTGTTTGCAATCGATTTTAACCTATAGTGACATCACAGATCCTCTCCATGTCGACGGTTGAAAACAAAATCTCGGTGTCCGACCCTTCCGAATGGCTCTACATCAATCAGTAACAACGGTTTCCCAGGTCTCACGGTCAATCTTGGCTCTTCACAGGATCATTGAGCCGTCGTTTTGGGCCTCCACATAGCCTCTTACCGTTGGCGCGATCTCCAAACAGGATGATATGAGGGAGTCGTGTGGGATATATTCAAGACACGTGGCCCGCCTCTCGGAGGCGATGTTGAAGGATTGTAGCCTCGATGCTGGGGAGATACATGCACGAGAGGCCCTCGCTGATGTTGATGCGGTCTTCCAAAAGAAGCGAAGGTTTCTTTGGAGATTCGTTTGCTGGAACCACTCCAAATGTTTGATTTCCCGACGATACGAGTTTCACGACTCCGAAGTGTGGAGAGGACCCCGGCTATGAAGACTTTGATTTTAGTGTTTATAG